GACCAGGTCACACTCTGGGATCTCTCGGTCGAACAGGACGACGACGAGACGCAGCAGGACGGTCTGCGCGACGTGCCGCCCCAATTGCTCTTCTGCCACCACGGCCTCACCGACTGCAAGGAACTCCACTGGCACCCGCAGATCCCCGGTGCTCTCGCAACCACAGCCCTTGACGGCTTCAACATCCTCAAGACCATCTCGGTCTAACGTCCCTCTCGCATTCGTCGGTTCGCTACTCTTTAATGCATTTCAGCAGCTGTATTTGTACCATCCCTCCTTCCTGCAGCTTGCACGCGTGTGTCCATGTCGCTTCTGAAAGTAAACGCACGGCAACAAGTTTTGAGATTAAGACGAGGCAGGTATGATGATGTCTAGTTGGGATCCGGCCACTCGCGCAGTTCGATCACACTGTCCGGTCCGCCGAACGCCAGAATGGGCAGGTGCGGATGGAACGCCATGCTACCCATAGCAGGCGAGAAGCTCGAGGGCGGCAGCTCGGCTGCAGGTGGCAGGAGCGTGTGCAGTGGATTGGTCGGGTTGAGCATGGGGCCGTGCGTGCCACCCACGTTGCCGGTCGAAGCATGCGCGCCCGACAACAGTCCGAACCCGCTAGCGGTGGGCGTGGGCGGAGCGTGGTGCATCTCGCCCGGATGGTGCAGATGGTGCAGATGGTGGTGGTGGTGCACCCCCGAGTTGACCGCATCCGGCGGGTACAGCAGCGTGCTATTGCCCAGGTGCTGCGTGGACCCTGCCTGTGCAAACGTGCGTGTAATCGGCCGCCCAAGCGTCTTGAGCGTCTCGAGATGCGTCAGCACCACCGTCTGGGGCGCCGCAGCCGGTCGCAGCGGCTTGGGTGCCGAGCTCACGGCGAAGAGCGGCACGCGCTCGTGCACCGCCATGCACGACAGCTTGCCACCCAGCTTGGCGCCCATGCTCAGCCGCGCGATCGACGAGCGCACGCGCATATCCCACAGCCGCACCTCGCCGTCCATGCTGGCCGTCACTAGCTCGCGCGAACCGCGCTTCTGCAGGTGCACATTCTGCACCCACGTCTGGTGCTCCTCCCACAGCCGCACCAGGCTCGCCTCGGGCGGATTGCGCCGGTCGTACACGCCCACCGTGCCGTCGCCAAAGCCGGCGACGAACAGATGCCCAAAGTCGGACTCGGAGCTGATCGACGTCACGCAGCTCGACGCGCGCGTGGGGATGTCGACCACACACAGCTCGCGGTGCGCATCCCACACCCGGATCACCCGGCTGTCGCCTCCCGCCAGCAGATGGCCCGAACCCTGCAGCCAGTCCACCACCAGCCCGCTCGGCCGCTTGCTCCGCACCAGGTCCGGCAGCGCCTGGAAGCTCGACGCGAGCTCCGGGCCGCGGAAACCCGCCGTGTGCGTCGGCGAGTCGTAGTGCCGGTAGATGCGCACATTGCCCTCCGCCGAGCCCACCAGCAGCATCGCATCGCTGTCCTCGTTGATGAACAGCGCCGACGTGATGTTGGTGCGCGCCGGGTTGCCGTTGGCGAACCGACTCAGCAGCCGCTTCTCCTCCCAGTCCCACACCGCCACCGTGTCCTGGTCGCTCGCCGTCACCAGGTGGTTCTCGTACTGGTGGAACAGCATCACCTGCGGCACCGCGCCGTTGCGGATGTAGCCTCCGTGCTCCGACCACGCGCTCTGCGCTGCATCGTCGGCGATCTCGAGCGAGTGCTCCGTCAGCCGGCTGTTGCGCTGCTTCTTCCAGTGCTGCACGTTGTACTTGATGCTGCCCGGCTCCTCGCTCTCGGCCTGCTTCATCTGTGGCTCGATGTAGTACTCGCTGCACCACGCAAACAGACGGCTCTTGAGCGGCAGCGTCTCGCGCAGCTCTGCACCTCCTCCGCCCGATCCGATGGACCCAGACGGCGTGCTCATGCCGCTGCTGCCCGGCGTCGACGCAAGGCCCCAACGGTTCGCACGGCTGACGGCGGGCGAAGAAGCAGGCGTGTTCTGTCCCGAGCCTTCGGCACTGCCCGTGCCCGTGAAGCGCTGCCGGAAGCGCCACATGTCCATGGCGATCAGACCAGCAAGCGCATCGCCGACCTTGACATGGTCGTCGACCGCGACGTGCGGGTCGCTCTCCATCTCGTCGCCGTAGAAGCGCTGCGCATCGCGCGCGCCGCCATGCGCCGGCTGGCTGGTGCCGTTGCCATTGACATACTGCTGTGGCGACTGCACGGTTTCGCCGCGACCCAGCGCCTTCTTGCGATCGCCCTTGCTGCCGTTGATGTACGACAGACTCTCGGCGCTCTGCGAGCGATTGCTGAGTTTTGCGTTCGTGTTGAGCGGCGATGACGGCATCGACACCGCGGACGGCGGCTCGAGCGAGGGCGTCGTGGGCGCTCCCGCACCACCGCGTGGTGAATACGGAGAGCTGTACTGTGCGGCCGCGGCTTTTGTGCCCGGGCTCCTGCGCGGCGCAATGACTGCTGGGCCAGGAGGCGGAATGCCGGAAGGTCCGGCTTCGCCGTACAGGGGACGCCCCTGACTGTCGTGGTCCGAGCCGACTGGAGAGGCAGGGCGCGAGTAGCCCAGTGTTGCGAGCGTCTTGACCGCCTGTGCCAGGGTTGACGAGCGCTTTGGCGGCGCGTACGACTGCGGACGTTGTGTCTGACGTGGGCGAGCAGGTCCAGATCCACCCGTGCCAAAGCCAGACGGCGGAACATGCGCGCCGTTCAGAGCCGCGATCTGCGAGGTCGACATCTCGTCCGTAGAGCCAGGGGTCGAGACGGTAGAGTGCGGTGTCAGAGGGAAGTATCCCTCGAGGCCCGCATCGGTGCTAGTTGGCGTCGTGAATCGTGTGATCGCCTCTGCAGCGCCAAATCCACGCAGCGCGCTCTCGCCCGCACTCGATACGTCGCTTTCGAGCAGGAGCGCCGAGATAAAGTCGACTACCGTGCAGGCCAGGTTGGCCACCTCGGGATTCGAGTCGACGCTGAGATCAAGCAGCGCGACAAAGATGGTGGTGAACGCCGGAATGTTGGCAATGTCTTCTTCCTCGATCTCCTCCTCGATCAGGAGCTTGGACGCGATGCGGGCGAGGAGCGCCTCCTCGTTGGCGAGCGATCCGGCTGACGGCCCAGCAACGCTGGCATTCGACCCTGATCGGCCGAGCGTATTCAACGAACCTCCACGATCCGCTGCTGCGCTCTGCGCCTTTCCCTTGCCTGCGGCCGACTTTCTTTCCTGCTGCGAGGGTGGGTTCTGCAAGCTGCCCTCTTTCGAGTAATACAGGTAGGCGGCGAGCACAAAGAAGCCCTTGTACTCGGCGACGACAGGGCTGAGCGCAATGACGAGCTCCTTGCGCACCAAGGGGCTGCAGTCGCCTTTGGTAGTGAGCATGGCAGTGGCGATGCCGATCTCGAGGCCGCGCTGCTTTGCTGGCGGGAGGCCTGTGGCAGCGCCAGTGCCGGGGCAAAAGCGTCGGGTCGATGCGGGTCGAGCGCTGCTGCTGGGTACAGGGACGGGCTCGCCTGTGGCGTGCGAGACAATGTCGATCTGATCCTGACTGGAGCCGCTCGTGCCGAGCAAGGTGCCGAGTGCGTGGAGCACAGCTGCGCGCACCTCTGGCGACACATCGCCGAGCATGCAGCAGAGCTTGCCGTGCGCATCGAGCGAGATCGCGCGCGCCTTGCCGGCTTCGTTGTCGTCCCACAGCTGGGCGAGGCAGAGCGCACTCCACTGCCGGAGCAAGAAGTCGTCGTCCTCCAGATGCTCAAGGCACGAATGCATGACGTCGGTCTCGAGACATGCCGCCTGACCAGCGGGGAAGTCCTGGCAGAAAACGGCGAGGATGAAGGCACACATGGCCTGGTGCTCCGAGACGTTTGGGATGGGGATGGACGGCCCGTTAGCGCCGGCATTCTGGCCAGCCGTGTTGTTCTGGAACGGGCTGAGGACGCCTGCAAAGTAGACGAAGCCGTTGTCGCGGAGCAAATCGTTCTGGCAGCTGCGGTCGACGGCGAGAATGCGTGCCCAGATGTAGATCAGCACGGGCTTGAGATCGGCAGCGGGGCTCTGGAGGAGCTTGAGCACGTAGGGGAAGATGCCGATGCTGAGCGCCATGTTAACAGCCCAAGGGCCCAGGTCGAGGAACTGACTGAGCAAGATGAGCGCGCGCAGACGGTGTGCTTGCGAGAGCAGCACCTGTAGAACGATCGGGAGCTGGTCGGGCGGCTCGCGCACGGGGCTTGCGTCTCCATCATCGTCAAACGCGTCCGGATCCGCGCCCGTAGCGGCGGATGATAAGCCAGCTGATGGATTGCCGTGGGGCGTGATGGCGGCATTGACTCGACGCCTCCTACCCTTCCTGCTGACGCCGCCCTGCTGAAGCCAGACCTCAAAGGCCTTGAGCTGCTCGCTGAAGAAGGTGCTGTGGCGGTACTCGAACGCCGCGAGGTGCGGGGGGACGGGTGGCCCGCCTTCGGCCGCCTCTGCCTGTGCACGTTCCTTTGCCAGTAAAGTCGGAAGCTGGGCGAGGCACTGATCGACGGCAAGATCCCAGCTGTCCCAGAGCGGATGGTTGTGTGTTGGCGGCAGCTTGGGGTGACTCATGGGCGTGCAGTGGTAGAAGCGCATGATTCGCTCTGCCAAGAGGAAGTTGCGGAGGAGAGCGGCGACCATGAGGTCGTCACGGAAGAGACGTCGGAAGATGGTGCGAGGCAGGACGGTCCATGCGATGGTGTCTGTGATGGCGGTGAAGATCCAGTTGAGTTCTCCGAGCGGCGTTCTCCTGTCTTGCAAGCGACCTGGGATATTCATGACCATGTCGACATTGAGCTTGGAAGGCAGCGGGTTCTGCAGCACGAACCATCGGAGCGAGATCTCGATGGGCGAGGTGAGGCAGCAGGTGAAGAGATCGGCGGGCAAGTCGGGATTCATGGGCAGCACCTCGTCTGGCCCGCAGGCTGCAAGGTGGATGGACTCTCGGAGCGGGAAGTGCGGCTCCTCGTTGTTTGCCTGGTCGGCGGTCTTCTTTGCTGAAGAAGCGGCGGACGTGGTGCCGGATGCGCGGTCTCGGTCGCGACCCTCCCTGTCGCCGCGGTTTGCTCTGGCGGCGTCCTCTTCGGCCTTGCGCTCCTGAAGGCGCTTGAAGTTGACGACGACGTTGCCTGCCGAACTTGCGTCCCAAACAAAGATGCATGGGCTGCCGAGCCAGGTGAGCAAGTCGTAGAGTGTCACGGGGATGTACTGGGTGTAGGCCTTGTTGAAGACCCAGATCTCGCCGCCTGGGGTGGGCTTGGGCACACCATAGCCGTTGTAGTAGAAGAGCACGCGCTCGTCTTTGGCGGCTCTTCGGAGGTTGGTGCAAAAGCGCCTGGTCTCTTCGACGATGGGATCGAGGTACTGCTTGTAGCGAGTCTTTGTGCTGAGCGTCTCGAACTGCGCCTGAAGGTTGCGACCGATGGCGGGGAGTGCCTTGGAGACTTCGAGCGAGCTCGGGTCCATCCAGCAGATGAGCTTGGAGCATGGGTTGGTTTTGGAGACATCCGGGGGATCGACGCCGATGTTGAGGCACATGACCAGGGCGGCAGTGACGGTGCGTAAGCGTTCGCGCATGCGCCAGTCTGGAAGGTCGCGCTCGTCCCTTGGTTTGGGGTTGCCGTGGGTGATGTGACGCTTGAGGCCCCAGTGGAAAAAGGAGTGCTGGAGCATCCACTCGTTGACCTCTTCGACGAGAAGCGCACCGTGGCGTCGGCCGCTAGCAGTGGAGGCGTCGTCCTCATCGTCGAGCTCTGGGGCGAGCTGTTGCGAGTCGGTGTCGGTGAGATGGTTTGGCAAGCCGTTAGGATTGGCAGCGCGCACGAGCTGGCCCGAGTCGGAGAGCTGCTGCGGAAAGGTATGCTGTGCCTGACTCGACGGGGTGGCTGAGGCGCTTGAGCGCGCGTCGTGCCCGATCGTGTACGGTTGTGGCGAGGGCGAGGCGTTGGAAGCAGCATGGCGCGTCTGCGCAGGCTCAAAGTGAGCGGCGAGATGAGCCATGGCGAACGACCGACGCGGGCGGATCGGCGTGCATGCAATTGCTGAGCAGCGACGACTGCTGTGCTAAGGGCGAGTCGAAACGACACGCTCGTTGGTCAGCCGACGTGCGCAATGCGGACAATTGTCGAAGCAGGATGATGCAGCAAGGGTGGCGAGTAGGAGTGTTGAGCGGTGTGGTCCAGCGGCGGAGCGAGACTGGCCAAGAGCACAGATTCCCCAGACGGCCGACGAGGAGATGGGCGTCTGAGAGGCTGATCCTGTGTCCTTGTCGATGCCGGCGCCGAGTGGAGAGGAGACGGGAGAAGCTCACGATGAAGTGCGCCGAGATGCTCGAGCGCAGTTTGGGCGTCAGTCAGTGAGTGAAATGACGGATGCAGACCGCCTCGCGAGCACAGACGGGTCCGAGCGTGGCTTTAATGATTGGCCCCCGCTTCGAGCCTCAAAGCCTGCAGGAAAAAAAAGCAAGATCGCAATTTCACGCGAGGCTTAACACACTATCCCGAAAATATCCGCTTCATCACACGACCCGACCCCCAGCTGAGCGGCCAACTGTGACAGTGTCGACATGGCGATGCTATCAGATGCCCGTGTGCACGAGACTGGAGGCGACGTCGCATGTGTATGGTGGCATTACAATTGGAAACGCTAAGCCGTCCTAGACCGTTCGAGCAGCTCTATCCTATCGACTGCATCGGCATCATACTCTTTGGTCTCGGGCACCAACAGGACTGTCACGAGAAGCCCGAGCAGGCTGACACCAAAGAAGATCCAAAAGATGCCCGTATGTCCGAAGCGTTTGTCGTTGGCGAGCACGCTGAATCCGAGCGACGACACGATGCTGCCCAGCTTGCCCATGGCGGCGCAAAAGCCGTGTGCTGTGGCCCTGATGCGCGTTGGAAATACCTCGGCAGGCACGATGAACGTCGTCGCATTGCTGCCGGCGTTGAAGCTGAGCTGGAGCAGCACAAACACCACAAAGAACGGCGCGGCGTGGTGGATGATGTGCGTGTACGTGAGCGCAAGCGCGAGAAACAGCACCGCGTTGGCAGCAAATCCGAACAGCTGGATCTTTTTACGTCCCACCACCTCGACCAGCGCTACGGTGATGTAGTATCCCGGAAGGAAGCCTGCCAGCACAACGATGAGGTTGCCCAGAGCAAGCTTGTAGATCTGGTGCCACGCGCTCCCCTGCGTGTACCCGATGAGCGCAAAGATGGCCGACTGGTTGAGATTGATGCCGTAGAAGGTGATGTCCACGAGGAACCAGGAGAGCGAGGTGCCGAGCAGCACGCGCAGGTGACGCCACTCGCCAAAGTACTCCCAAAAGTCGTTGCGCGGAACACCGATGGTTCGGAAGGCGAATCCCTGGCTCTGCGCAGCCGCCTTGCGCATCGCCTCTCGCAGATCCCGCGGTGACGGTATCTGCCGCCGCAGCTTGTAGCGCGAATCGCCACTCGAGCTTAGCGGCGACGAGAGCGACGACGGCGTGAGCGAGGTCTTGCGTCGCTTGTTGGCGCGCTTGATCGCGTCCGTCGAGGTGTAGACGCTCGTAGGTTGGATAGCGACCTCCTCGCCCTTTGCATTGTGCACCAGCACCAATCCCGCCGCCGACGCATGCGTGGCAATATCGTCGTGGTCCTGCAGATACCTCGCCTGCACGAATCTCGCCGACTCGACCAGCGTCAAACGAAAGTAAAGCACAATGACTGCCGGTGCAAGCGGCAATCCCTGCAAAATGCGCCAGGCTCCACTCAGCTTGGCAAAGTCGCCCGCCTCGATCGCCGACTTGTACCCTCCGATCACCGCGAGCGCCGCCAACGCCGCAAATAGCGCACCCCATCCCTGGTTGCTGAAGATGAGCGACAGCAACAAACCTCTTGTCTTTAAACTACTCCTATCTGCCACCACACTGGCACTGAGAGGATAGTCTGCGCCCAATCCCAGTCCGAGTACAAAGCGAAAGACGGCCATCCAGATCGTCACGCCCTTGCCGTGAATCGAGTCGGGAGCCGAGATGATGAGCACAGTCGCCGCCATGGCGAGCATGAGCTCTTTGCCATACAGCACGGAGCGGCCCCAAAAGTCGCCCAGAAATCCGAAGAGCAGCTGTCCGACGACGTTTCCCATGCTAGCCGACGCCTTGAGAACACCACCGGATAGACCCCACTCGATATTGCGTGTCCCCGGCGGATAGTATGCGAGTAGCAGGAGAGGGTAGATCATGTTGATCACAAACAGGTCGTAGGCGTCCACCAGAAAGCCGGCACCGGCAAGTGATAGCAGCTTGATCTCTCCCCAAGTAAGTCCGATCAACGTCCTGGCCATGCGCCGTTCGATCAGCGCGAGTGGCGGAGTGGCATTGTAGCTAAAAGTCTCTTCAGGTCGCCTTGTTGGGCCAAGAGAGCTACTGTCAAAGTCCACATGCGCTTGCTTTGGCGGCTCTGAAGCGTGCCGACTTGAATCAAAGCCGTGCAAAGACGAATCGTGCCCGCCCGCCGGCGTCAACAAGGCGTGACCATCGTTGCGGGATTGATCTTGGCGGCCTAGAATGGGACGCTGCTGGGTGAAAGGAAAGAGCTGGCTGTACAGCTCGTCGATGGGCTGCAGCTGTGCGTTGGGCACCGAGCTAGGCGGTAGAGACTCGAGACGGATCTCGCTCAGGTGTTCGCTCTTGCGGTGCGTCTCGGCGAAGTCGAGCTCGGAAGAGGCGCGTGCCGAGCCGACGGCATCGTCCACCTCGATCTCGATCTCGTCGCTGGGGTAGTCGTAGTAGGATGCCCATGCATCCATCGACGCTCCGAATGGCATGGTTGCACGTTTCGATCGGGATCGGGATGGCTACCTCAGGGCCGGTGACATCGAGTTCGAAGGGTAGGGATGGTGAGGGCGCGGGGATGTGGTGGCGAAGCACGCCGACTGCAATGCAGGGTATATAAGGTAGCTCAAAGGACTTCGGCATCAGGCTTAGTTCGGCTCGGGAGGATGTGGGTGTCCATGCACGCAGGCACGACTGGTCGGCTTGCACCTCGGCTGTGGCTCGCAGCATGGCCGCAGTACGAGTTGGCCGTGGTTTGCCGACCGCACGTCGAGTGCCAAAGAAACGACAAAGCACTAGTCAAGCTGGGTTCTGTTTTGAGAGCCCGCAGTTGATGGGCAGAAAGGCAGGAAGAGAGCGGCGAAGCAGCAAAGACTTGTTGCCGAGCGTGTGTGAGCACGAGGACGCGGCGAGTTCTGGCGAGCTGCACCGGCGGCGAGGCGAGACATGAGCACGCCAGGTCACGTCGCCGCCCAACTACATGGCTGCAAGCAGTGGACGAGAGAAGCCAGCGAGGAGACAGAGGCAGGGAACGTGTGAGAGCCAAACCACGTGGCAGGTGCATGGAAGTCTTCGCCGCCTACAACTTTCCCACCCTGGCTTGTCGAGTGAAAGGCGAGGGCATCATGAAGGCTCAAACGAAACTGTCGCAAGATTCATTGGCATTTGTTGATTCATTTGGTGCTGTCAGGACCCTGTCTGGCGCTTCCTCCCCGCTGTTGGGCGCTGAGTGCCAAACACGATGCACGAGAAGCAGCAGCCATCGGTCAAGTTGGTCGGTCAAGGCAAGAAGCGGGTGCGGAGTGAGGGCTGCGAGCGCTGCGCTGTCAAACAGCGACCGAGCTTGGACAGTCGGCGCGGCTAAGCGAGGTGGGCACGTTGCCAACCGTGCATGGCGAGCGTCCTTCGTCGACGTTGGGTCTAACAACTATCAAATTTTTCCACCGGCTCCTACTTGTCGATCAGTGTTCTTGCCCCTATTGGCCAGATGATGCGAGCCGGATGATGCGAGGACCTGTCACGTAGTGCTATGAGGTAGATGTCAAGATAGACGCAGTGGATTAGGCAGCCGACTCTCAATCTGCGGCATCGCCGGCACGGCGGAAGGGCCGATGGAGGTAGTTGGGCGGCGTGGGAGATCCAACGGCGCTTGAAAGCTGCTCTGTCTGGGCGACTTCGGAGGCTTCTGGATCGGGCAGGACTTCCATGCTTGCCAAGCGATCCGATGCGGGGACAGCTTGGGTCGGCCCCTTCCTTCGGGAAGCGCATCCGATCAGGGCACAGAAGCAGGCCTGTCGGCGACGCCCGCGGCCGAAGGAGTTGCCGAGAGATGCGGTGAGCCAGGAGCAGCAGCAACGAGGCTGGCAGGTCAACAGGGCCAGACTTTGCACGCTCGCGATCGGCGCTTGCACCCCTCTGCCCGCTCCCTGCAGAGCGCCCGCCAAAGTTGCTACACTCTGTGACAGCCAGCAAGCGCCCCGGCTGCACGCTCGGCTCGTCCGAGCAACGCATCCGCCCTCCTTCCCCCCCCCC